CACACACACACACACACACACACACACACACACACACACACACACACCATTATCTGCTTATTTTACTTAAAACGATCTTTTTAGCTCCATTCGTTTTCCTATAAATGTCATGATACCATTTACTTGTATTCCTGAATGAAGCTCCAGTTGTGTCTATGTACCGCATTGTCTTTGTGCCGTGGTGTGTTGACAGGCATCTATGCTGGGTTCTTTCCTTTTTAGCTCTTGTGAACAATGCAGAAAAAAAAAAAAAAAAAAAACACAGAGATGTGCAAATGCCTCATGGTATGTTCCCTATAGGCTTACACCCAGGAGTCGTGTAGCTGGGTCGAATGGTAGTTCTGTTTTTGAGGAACCTCCGCCATTAACTTCTAGCCCAGCTACATCAGTCTACATCCCTCATAGCAGTGCCTAAGAGTTCCTCTTTTCCAACATCCTTATTACTTATTTGTTTTCTGACAGGTGAGATGGTTTCCATCTTGTGGTTTTGTTTTTTTTTTTCTTTTGTTTTGTTTTTCAGCGGTCAAACTTTCATAGTTTATTTATTCTGTTACAATTTCATATATATATATAATTTTTGGTCAAAGTCTCCTCTGTTATCCTATCTGCCTCTCTCTCCCACAAAATCCATTTTTTTTTCAAGTCTACTTCCTACTTTCATGTCTTTTTTTGTACTTTTGTGTGTGATGAGTGCATCATGAGTAGCCTGCATGAACATAGGTGAAAAGTTATTTGCTTGAGTGGTGGGATGGACTGGCTATGGGACTGGGGACCATGGCTCCCATGTCCCTGTGTAACAGTTAACTGTACATTACTCCTTTGGGAGCACAGGGCTTCATGAGCTCTTTTGCCCACCCATGACAGGATGCCCGATGAACTAAGTCTTGTGTAACTCAGGTGAAACAGCCACGTCATGTCCAGAGGACAGCAATTTAAAGCACTACCTCCCATCCTCAAGTTCTTACTGTCTGACTGCCCTCCTCCTATGAAGCTTTTTGAGCCTTTGAGAACTGATGGAGACATATCATTTGGGGCGGAACACTCAGAAGTCGAGTGTTCTCCGCACCAATCCTTGCTCGTCGTGAACAGTCTCTCTGACAAAGCTGAGAGTCGCACTGCCAGATGGGTATAAATGTAGTGTGTGGAGAACATTTTGACACCATGTCCATTTAGCAAAGTTGCAGAAGTGGGATCCCCTCTAGGACTTCTGCTTGTCCCAGGCCTAGGTTTTGCACATGTTGATAGTGCAAAGTATAAAGTCTTCCTGTAGAATGGACCTACAGTCCAATCAGAAACCAACCTGTAGGGTAAGATGTGCCCACTGGGGCAAAGGTGTCATGACTGTTTTGAGCGTAACCAACCATCGGCTTCTAATTGGAACTGTTAGGTTCTCCACGTTATTCCCTTGCCTGAGGCATAGTTGGCATAGACTTCATCCCATTCTGTAGTCTGCCTCTCCAGTCTGGTAAATTCCATTTGCTTGCTGGGTCGACTTCCATCCTCTTGATTCTCGTGGGTGTCCTTGTTAGTGAGCGGTGTGCCTCCTGGAGACAATAGAAACGTAGATGATTCATATATTTTAATGCAGCCAGCTAGTCTGCAGCCCTGTACTGGATGAGTTGAAGTCATATGCATCTAAGGTTAATTTTGGGAGGGGTTTATTAATGTCTATGATTTCACTGGCTGTTTTATTGTTGTTTGAATTATAATTCATTCTTTCCTTTCTTCCACGTTATCGTAGAAATTCCCCACAGGATTCATGACCACACCCTTACATGTGGCCAGCAGTTCCTCTTTGCCTTGTACTTGTGGTAGGCTCAGCCAGCCTTTAAGATAGGTTTGTCAATTCTGCCTCCACCGTCCTCAACGCCAACAACAACTCTCTTGGCAGAGGAAATGACCTTCTTGGACCCTGAAGGCGGCTTCACTCGGGTCTTCTTGGTTTCTGGATGGTGGGAGATGACTGTGGCATAGTTCCCAGAGGCTCGTGCTAGCTTGACCCTGTTCCCAGGCTTCTCCAAACAACACACAATAGTACCCTCAGGCATGGTGCCCACAGGAAAAACGTTGCCGATATTCAGGTGAGCCTTCTTGCCACAGTACACGAAAGGTCCAGTATGGATTCCCTCTGCAGCGATGAACAG